TTCATCTTTCTTCTTCTTAGGATAGGGCTCGCACTAATATTTCCTCCGTAAGAAACCCACTCTGTTTTCTCTCTCTCAAATTGCTAAACTTGTGAAAGCTTAGCTCCCATGCCACATGCTCCTCAAGCTAAGCCATTAATGAAATCCTCATGCTTATTTGGGTGTTAGTGAAGTGATCCTGAGAGTGTTCTTTTAAAATCTCATTAGATTTTCTAAAAACTCTCTTGGGAGCTTGTTTTTCGAACTCAGGTATTTGGGGGATTTTTGCTCGTTGCCTTCTTCCAGTAGCCCAGGCCCATTCGTCAGGCTGCTGGAACAAAAAACCCCTACATAAATTGGCGACTCTGCTGGGGAACAAGCTGCCATTTTACTGATGCCTCCAAGAAAGAAAACTCGAAGCAACACCATGGCCTCCCAAGATGGACCTGACCATGGTGATTCTGAATCAAGGCAAAATGCTTCCTCTAGAGGACAAGAGCGTGCAAGTGAGGAAGCCTTCACCCTCACTGATCTCATCACGGCTATGCAGGCCATGGGGGAAACCCAGAAGGAGATGATGGACACTATCAAAGAATTAAAAAATGCTGCTTCCAAGCCAAACGAAGAGGATAGACGTCCGCAAGAAGAATCTGCCGCTGCTGGAAAGAGGTCTGAACAAAGGGGACCGTCTTTTGTCACTCATGAGGATGTCGTTGCCATGCTGGAAAAGGAGCTTAGTCGAAGTCAGGAGGATTGGAAATACATTCCTCAGCCACCGTACCCAGCAAGTTTACTCCAGCAGCCCTATCCCAAAGGTTACGAAACACCAACCTTTGTTCTCTTCGATGGGAGGAAAGGAAGCCCGAAGGAACATGTCAACCGATTCCTTGATGCTTTGGGGCCGCACGCTGGTGATTATAATTTGCGACTCCGAGAATTCTCAAAGAGCCTCACCGATCGGGCTTATACATGGTACACCACGTTGGCACCAGGCTCTATGCGTTCCTGGGACGATTTGGCGAGCAGGTTTTGTAAAAAATATTTTCAGCACGAGGAGAGGGTCACCACCACGCAGCTCAACAACACTCGCCAAAAGCAAGGGGAGGATCCCGTGGACTTCGTGAGAAGATTCCGGGACTTGGCTCTCGATTGCTATGACGAAAAAGATGAGGAGGCACTTGTTGAGATTTGCATCAGCAACATTGTGGCAGACTATAGAGTATACTTGGAAAATATCGGCATCAGCCAATTTTCCCGG